AAGCTGCTGACCATCCACCTGACCGTGCACAGGACAGTCCCCACGACAAAGAATCTGCCAGCCCCAAAGTCAGTAGTGCCAAGATGGAGAAACCCTGCTCTACGCTGACATTGACATGTGCCTGTAACTCTTTGTTTACAGTCATCCATTCACTCCGGGGCAGAAAGTTCATTCATTCAGCTGGTGCTTTATATTCTCAGCCCAGTGCATGGTATGAAATGAAATTGGAATGTACTTAAGAGTTTTAATTGCCTCGATCCCTGTAGTTAACATCTCAAGTGGAACTCAGAGGAGTGATTCATAGAGATAATTTAATAAACTCGAATTGTCTTATTTATTTATTTAGAGAGAGCACACGCGTGCAAGTGGGGGAGGGGCAGAGAGAGAGAGAGAGAGAGAGAGAGAGGGAGAGAGAGAATCCCAAGCAGGCTCCAAGCCCAGCGCAGAGCCTGACGTGGGGCTTGATCCTTTGACCGTGAGATCATGACCTGAGCAGAAATCAAGAGTCAGATGTTTAACCAACTGAGCCACTGAGGCACACCTTAACTAAAATTATTTTTTTTTTGTTTTTGCTTTTGTTTTTTGAGAGAGAGAGAAAGAAAGAAAAAGCCGGGGAGGGGCAGAGAGCTAGGGGGACAGAGGATCCAAAGCGGGCTCCATGCTGTCAGCACAGAGCCTGATGTGGGGCTCAAACTCACGAACCTTGAGATCGTGACCAGAGCCAAAGTGGGACGCTTAACCGACTGAGCCACCCAGGTGCCCTAAATTAAAATTGTTTTAAATACACAGTTGTTTTAAATTAGATTATTGGCTAGGCCAGAATGACAACTTCTTGTCCACTTGCTTCTGTGTGTATTGTGGGTGCACTCATTCCTGTTGGGACCGGAAGGTTGTTTCCCTGGTCTCTGTAGCTCTCTGATGGTAGCTCAGTGTTTCCCGGGTGCTAGACTTTGCCATAATAACTTCTAGTAATCACATTTTTATTGGAGTTTGTGCTCAAAATAATAACAGCCATCTGTCAGCAATTAATACCTGCCAGGCGCTGTTCTAAGCATTTTTCATGCATGGACTAATTTAATTCTCATAATGTTCTGTGAGATAGATATGATAATTATCCCCATTTTACATAGGAAGAAACTGAGGCACAGAGAGATTAAATAATGTGTTCACGTTTATTTATACAGCAGATAAGTGACGGGGCAGTCTGACTCTGAGTTTATGACACCAAACTATGATATAAGCTTAGATATCAGAACAAATTCCAGATCACGATTCAAGACCTGATTAGAAAAAGCAAAATGCTACAACTTTAGAGAAGATATAGGAAAACCTATTTACAGCTTCAGGGTAAGGAAGGATTTCTTTCTTTCTTTTTTTTCTTTTCCTTTCTTTTCCCTTTTCTTTTCCTTTTTTCTCTTAGGATAGGGAAGGATTTCTTAAACAAGATTCAGAGAGCGCAAATGATGAAGGAAAAGCCCATAATTTTGGCCACCCCCAAATCAAAACATTTTCAGGCCCCAACACGTCATAAACGAAGCTCAAAGACACGTGCCAGACTAGCAGCAATTACGTCATACACAAAAGATGAAAGGTTAACAGGAAGAACAGGTGAAGGTTAATGGCAATCAGTAAGAAAAAGGCCACACGAGAGGACACCGGGCCGTGGAGGGAAAAAAGCAAACTCGCGTGGCCAGTAAACATGAAGAGATCCCCAAGTTCCCTAGTAATTGGGGAAACGAAGGTCAAAACCACCACGGGAAGTGATATATACCATTTCTCACACATCAGACTGGCAAAAAGCACAATGTCTCGGCCTCCCAAGTGCTGGCGAGGAGACAGAGGAACAGAACTCCCACTGCTGCTGGTGGAGAGTGGCAGCGGCCTGGGCGGGGGCGGGAGCAGGGGGAGGGGCGCGGGGGGTGGGGTATCTAACAGGGCTGAGCCCTCGCCTGTCCCGCCTGTCGGTACCCCTGCTGCAACTACCTAGGCGCTGCGTCAGCTCACTGAGAAAACATGCAAAGCAAGATAGTTCTTGGTGCTCACAGATGCCTTAGATAGAGGGGAGGTGGCTGACCCAGGGCTCCAGGGACCACCGAAACAGTGGCACGGCTAGCTACACGTTTGTGCCCCCCTCCCTGGGGAGGGTCTGTGTCCACACGCTTAGGAGCCCCTGTCTCAACACCTCCAGGCCACTTCCTGAAAGCACAGACCTCTGTCTCATCGTCACCAGGGCCAGAGGGGACAGAAATAGCCTCGCGGCAGAGTCCACGCGGATTGTAAGCCGGGGAGAAGAGGGAAGAATGCTGAGCCTGCTACCCAGTTTCTCAATGCTCTAACGGCTTTATTTTATTAAAAAAAATTTTTTTTAATGTTTATGTATTTTTGAGAGAGAGACAGAGAGACAGAGAACGACTGGGGGAGGGACAGAGAGAGAGAGAGGGGAAGACACACAGAATCCGAAGCAGGCTCCAGGCTCCGAGCTGTCAGCCCGGGGCCTGACGGGGGCTTGAACCCAACAAACTGTAGATCGTGAGCTGAGCTGACGTGGGATGCTCAACCGACTGAGCCACCCAGGCGCCCCTCTAACGGCTTTAAAGAGATGTAGACACACGCCCGGTCACCCCTGCAAGTGGAAAGCCGCTGCCTTCTCTTACAGCTCTTGTGGGTAGAGTCTAGTTTTGGGTCAGTGATATCGCAGCTAAAATTGTTACCTCTGGCAGGCCTTATTTCTCATTCAGTTGGGAATAAATAGCCTAAATTGTGGCTTAAGTCTTTTGGCTCTTCCAAGTCATGGCAACTAAGCCGTTTTAATAATTTTTTAAGTTTATGTATTTATTTTGAGAGAGCGAGCGTGGGAGGGAGGGAGGGAGGGGCAGAGCGAGACGGAGACAGAGAATCCCAAGCAGGCTCTGCACTGGCAGTGTGCGGGGCTCGAACCCACGGAACCGTGAGATCATGACCTGAGCAGAAACCAAGAGTCAGACGCTTAACCGACTGAGCCACCCGGGTGCCCCTAAGTCATTTTAGCTGTGGAGGAATCAGCTGGGGTTTCTCTAGATCGGATACTAGAATGGCCCCATACGGTGGTCCTTGTCTTACAGAGACGTCTGAGTCACAATTTTTGTGGCTTCAATAATGTCTCCAAGTCTTCAGACACAGAACTCTGGGGCCTCTGCCAAGCATTCACCTGTCTGATAGGTGAGCACATTCAAGTGTCTTTCCTGCGGAACTGGTTGGTGCTGGCCACTGTGGTCCCTCCTGTGCGCAGAGGTGCCCTTTGCCTGGGGTCGGACACAAACCAGGATTCTTACGTTTCATTGTCCAGGCCCCTGTTGGGTGAAGCAGGGTGGCAGTGGACAGTATCCTCAGAGAATTCCCTTCTTGGCTCGTTGCTACTCTCCCCCTCCACTGGCCTCTGAGCTTCTATAGGACTTGAATTGAAGATGGTGTCTGATGTGTTACTCAGCATAAGGATTTAGATTTCCCCTAACATTTAATGCCAGGAGAATGTTTATTTCGTTCGGAAACCCTTCGTGCTTCATTCGGTATTTGGGAGTGGAGAAGCCACGTGTAGAGAGTATACTTTGGAGCTCTGTGGCCCCGAGTTTCAGTCCTGAGCCAGCCACTTACTGAGGGAACTGAGGCAGTTGAGTTACCCTGGATCGTATCTCAAAAGTGGGGATAACACTTCTGGGGCCATAGAGCTGTCGTGGGGATAGGACGCTCCGATGGAAGGCACTGAGTACGCTTGGAGGCACTACAGAAATCATACTTGTTCTTAGAAAACCCATTGTGCTGGAAAACAAGGCTAGAGTTAGTGCTCGGATGAAGTCACTAGTAAAAAACGTTTTTTTAATGTTTATTTTTGAGAGAGAGAGACAGAATGTAAGCAGGGGAGGGGCAGAGAGAGGGAGACACAGAATCCGAAGCAGGCTCCAGGCTCCGAGCTGTCAGCACTGAGCCCGACACGGGGCTCGAACCCACGAACCACGAGATCATGACCTGAACCGAAGTGGAACACTCAGCCGACTGAGCCACCCAGGCGACCCAGAAGTGACTATTTTAATCTGGGTTCCAGTACCATGTTCTGGTTTCTGTTGTTCTAATCATTTCTGACCGTGATTTTATGTCAGTGTTCCCATTCTGTGTCTTAATACTCTAGACAGCCTCACACCTTCTGTAGGAGGCAGATGGGGGATAAATCAAGACCAGCCGAGTCCAGTTTCCTAAGCAACAACTCTCAGACTCTAAACCCAGCTCTACCTGCTGGCTCACCGTGTGCTTGGGCAAGTGACTTTAGAGCCCTGTCATTGTTGGGAGATGGGCTTGCCGTGGTTTGTGTTCCCTCCTCCTTCTCTACCCCCGACGGGCATCCAGCGATGCAGGAAACAGACGACAAGAGTTCAGGGTCTGCTGCCCGCACCCTCTGTCGCTGGCAGCTAGGCAGCTGCAGGATGCCCTGGTCAGGAGGCTCTGAGGTCAGGCTCCCCCTGCCAGATGGAGACAAGCAGCCGCTCACCCCATGCAGGGCTACAGTGAGGACAGCTCAGAGTCCTGTTAGAGACAGAGGCCAGTGCCCTTAGCCTGAAGGCCTCTGGGACTTGTTAGGGACTCTGTGCTAGAAGGGACAGGGCCTCTCCACGCCCGAGCCCCTGTGCACCCTTAACTGGTAGGCATTTCTGTTCTTCCTCTCGCCTGACACTTTTCACTCCTGCATGCTTTCGTTTTGCTTGTAAGGTTGGGAGCCCCTCGGATCAGATGCTCTTCTGAGCCAAAGGCACGAGTGGAACTTGGAACGGAAGTTTTCACCCTCCGCCTGTGAACACTTTGGTTCTCTGAGCCTCTCCTGGCTTTTTCCTGTGCAGCCAGCCCATGCCCTCAGAGAATTTGTTTTGCATGTGGTTGTTAAACTTTGATTCGGTGACTCATGCCGGGGCGAAGCCTTCAAGTCTGCCTCCCTCATTTGATTGCTCGCTTCCTTTCCTTTTTTTTAAAAAAAAAAAAAAACTCAGAGCAAAACTACCTTGGCAGCTGAACGTGATCGTGGCACCCAGGAAGGGGAGCTTTGGCATGGAGGGCCTCCTAATGGCCTCGTGGCCCAGCCGGGCAGGGCTCCCTCAGGTTGGATGATACCTGGCCGACTGCGGCGGGCGTGGAGCTGGGGTTGCTGCGTGGAGCACGGGTGTCCACTGTGGGGGCTGACGCGACGCGCCCTGCTGGTGAGTGCCTGGCTCCGACCATCATTCAGTAGGACAGGGGCTGTGGGGTCCAGGGCTGGAGGAGAGACACAAGAATATACGGGGCGGGGAGCAAGTTGGGGAGCAGTCCTTGGATTAGCGTTATTCTGAGCAGTCTGATTTCCCGTGCCTCACATGATTTTAAGTGCACGGATTAAAAAAAAAAAAAAAAAGGTGAAATCCTTGCTCGTTTTAGCACAGTTGAATTTTATTTCAAGAGGGCTTTCGTGGGAGAAAGATTAATCGGAGGAACTCTTAGGTGTAAGGGACAACTCCTGCTGTGGTCTTCGAAGATCTTTTAGTTTTATGAAATCAGAAAGCCGAGAATGCTCAGGCACGTTTTCAGCCTGTCTCCACGCTCCCGAAAACATATCTTTTAGGCTAGATATTGACTTGTGGGTGTCTAGTTTCCCGGCAGATCAGGAATATTTGACCACAGTCCCAAACCCCATCTCTCCTAAAGGACGGCTCTGCGGGCTCCAAGAAGGCCCAGAAGGACATGGAAATAAATCTTAATCGGAGGCAATGGAGACAATTTTGGCTCATTCCCTGTGGTTGTTAGAAACCTTGGCCACGCATCCAGGATTATGAACTCCTCTGCAAGGCCGGGTGATGCCAGGCCAGGAATGCCAATACCTGATGAGTGAATAGGTTGGGTGTAGAAGATAAGGAGGATGGGTTTTTGTTGTTTTTTTTTTTTTTTTTAACTCGGAGTTGCCCTGGGGTATGGATCAGGGCTTGTGTGTATATACTTGTGTGTGTATCCGAAGTAACGTATAACAATACGGAAGAGCAAGGGACAAGCTCAAGGAGAAAACCCAAGACCAGGCCGCCTATGCTCACAGCAGCACTATTTACAACAGCCCAAAGGGAGCAGCATCTCAAATGTCCGTCAGCAGGTGGGTGGGCAAACAGAAGGTGGTCCATATACATAATGGACTATTATTCAGCCTTAAAAATGAAGAAAATTCTGACAAATGCTTGCAACAGGGCGGAACTTGAAAACATTATGCTACGTGAAATAAGCCAGTCAGAGAAGGACAAGTACTGCGTGATTGCACTTGTAGAAAGTACTTAGAGGGGCGCCTGGGTGGCGCAGTCGGTTAAGCGTCCGACTTCAGCCAGGTCACGATCTCGCGGTCCGTGAGTTCGAGCCCCGCGTCGGGCTCTGGGCTGATGGCTCGGAGCCTGGAGCCTGTTTCCGATTCTGTGTCTCCCTCTCTCTCTGCCCCTCCCCCGTTCATGCTCTGTCTCTCTCTGTCCCAAAAATAAATAAACGTTGAAAAAAAAAAAAGTACTTAGAGTAGTCAGATTCATAGGGATGGCAAGAAGGAGTATGGTTACCAGGGGCGGGGGGGGGAAGAGGGTGGGGAGTTAGTGTTTAACGGGGACAAGGTTTCAGTTTTATAAGACGAAAAAGCTCTGGAAATGGATGCTGGTAATGGTTGCTTAATGCCACCGAACTGCACTCCTAAAGATAGTTAAAATGGCAAATTTTGTGGTATGTATAATTTACCACATTTTAAAAAAAATTATAATTCCCTTTAAAAAAAAATCCCCCAAAAGCCAGACCCAAAACCCAAATCTCGTGGGCTGAAGTCGTTGCCTCTCTGTGACTTCCCCAAAATCTAACTGACAACCCCACTGATCAGAGCTGAGCCAGAAAACTGCATGGACCGTGTCTATGAGAACTTTTCTCCTCATCATGCAGGTGACTTCTGGCTATCATGAGGGGGTGGATTTCTCTGGAACTGGCAGAGGTGACCAGGAACAGACTCGAGGGTCAGGGGCAACATGATGAATGCATTCTTCCTGGGGCTGGTGCTCGGGCTCACCTTGCTCTGTGGCCCCCTGAGCAGCCCTGGGCAGCACCCTCTGGGCCAGGCTGTAGGAGGAATCCCTTGGGAGTCTAGTCCCTCCCATTAATTAGCTGTGAGACCATGGGTAAGTTGGCAAAACCTCTCTTTTCTTCAGTTTTCTTACTTGCAACATGAGTCATGAGTAACGAATCCTTTTCCATCTCCCACAGATGTTGGTATCTCCAAAGGCAATATGCAAGGCTGTCCCTTGTATCTGTAAAATACTGGGCACATGTGAGCTACTGATTCTCTACATGTCTTATCCCTCTAATGTCTCCTCCTTTTCTCCTTCTTCAGTTTCTCTTGTATTCTTTTCCTCAGGAGGTCTTCCAGTCAGAGGTTACAGACCCTAGGTCCAGAGGCCCTCAACCTGGATTGGCTGATTCCAGGAGGAACCGGTCTGATCTAATTCTCATTTTTTTTTTTAATGTTTATTTATTTTTGAGAGAGAGTTGGGGAGGGGCAAAGAGAGAGGGGGACAGAGGATCCAAAGCTGGCTCCGTGCTGACAGCAGAGAGCCCAAGGTGGGGCTCAAACTCACGAACTGTGAGATTATGACCTGAGCCAAAGCCAGATGCTTAACTGACTGGGCCACGCAGGCACCCCTAATGCTCCTTGTTAATAAAGTTCTACCTTTCCTCCCTCCCTCTTTCTCCCTTCCTTTCCTGCTGCTTTGTTAGGCCACCTCCAACTTCGGATTCTACCCGAGCCCATCTCCATGGCTCCCTTGACTATTGACCATCGGGAAGTGTTGCAAGGCTGACCGTCCTACGAGCTCCTGAGGAGACCGAGGATTTTTAAAGGGTTACTAATTATCTGTGCTATTTGTGACTTCCAGTCAAGCTTGAGGAAGCAAACTCAAATGAAATCGTTCAGACTTTCAGGACTTAAAAATAGCAGTGAGAAACTGCTGGCAGCCTTGCGGCTCAAAGACCATGCATCTCAAGGGGAGGGTTTTGGCCTGAGGGCCAGCGGAGGCTCCTGAGGACAGGCCCCCACCTCAGGTTTCTCCCTTATTTAGAAGTTTTAAAAGGAAATGAAGTTGATTTTGAAATCTCAAGGGGGCGAAAGAAAGCCTCTGAAGTGGGTGAACTCTTTCAGTTAATGTTGTGTAAAAACAGCTCTCTTGTCCCACGCATGACCTTTCAAAAGTTTCCTCAGAAAGGGAGCTCCGGGGCACCTGGGTGGCTCAGTTGGTGAAGCGTCTGGCTCCTGACTCTGGTTCATGAGACCGAGCCCTGCGTTGGGCTCTGCGCTTGACAATGTGGAGCCTGCTTGGGATTCTCTCTCCCCAACCCCTCTCTCTCTGCCCATCCCCCACTCTCTCAAAATAAATACATAAACTTAAAACAATTTTTTAAATCATAAAAATAAAAGAAAGGGAGCTCTTTTGGAACTCGTGGGTGCCGTGGAGAGCTGCAGAGGACAGGCCTCACGCGACCCCTCTCCCTCCCCTGCCCCAGGTAAAAACCCCAAGGTTTTTCATCGCGAAGATGTCTGTGATTCGGTCTGCAGATTTCAGACTGCAAAGTTACGACACCAACCCGGACTCTCCTCATAGCTGTTACTTTGTGACCAAAGAGAAGTCACCCGGGCGGTTGTATTTCGGGTTTTTCGATTTCTGCAAAAACAAGACGCTGCCTCCATCTTGAGCACAACTCAGAGCAACACGTTGTTTTGGGTTTCTACTTTTGGTCGGCCTCTGCCGCTTACTAACCGTATAGCCTTTTCTCAGTGCCACTCTGAGCCTCGGCTTCTTCACCTGTGGAAAGGGGCTACTTTTATCCACCATCTACCCAACCGGGGGTAACGGCAAGTTCAAGGGAGAGAGGCTCTCAGTGAAGGTGGTGTGGAAACAGCGAAGAGCTCTGTGAGCACCAACTGTGATGTTCATGCTGTCTGCCACATTCTTCTTTTTCCTTCTCTCTCCCTTTTCTTTCTCACACCCCTCCTCTCTCTTCCCTTCTCCTCTTTCTTCCACAATTTTTTTGTGGATGTAATACATTATAACTTTATTTATTTATTTATTTATTTAATATGCAATTTATTGTCAGATTGGTTTCCATACAACACCCAGGGCTCATCCCCACAGGTGCCCTCCTCAATGCCCATCGCCCACCCTCCCCTCCCTCCTACCACCCATGAACCCTCAGTTTGTTCTCAGTTTTTAAGAGTCTCTTATGGTTTGCTCCCTCCCTCTCCAACTTTTTTTTTTCCTTCCCCTCCCCCATGGTCTTCTGTTAAGTTTCTCAGGATCCACTTAAGAGTGAAAACGTATGGTATCTGTCTTTCTCTGTATGGCTTATTTCACTTAGCATCACACTCTCCAGTTCCATCCACGTTGCTACAAAGGGCCATATTTCGTTCTTTCTCATTGCCACGTAGTACTCCATTGTGTATATAAACCACAACTTCTTTACGTCACATTAATAAGAGAAAAGAGAAGAACCGTATGATCCTGTCAATCGATGCAGAAAAGGCATTTGACAAAATTCAGCAACCTTTCTTAATAAAAACCCTCAAAAAAGTCGGGATAGAAGGAACATACTTCAACATCATAGAAGCCATTTATGAAAAGCCCACAGCTAACATCATCCTCAATGGGGAAAAACTGAGAGCTTTCCCCCCGAGATCTTTCTTCCAAATTAAAACAAGAGCCACACGTATGTGTAAGAAAGGAAGGGCGGAGGTGGGGGTGTAGCTGGGCTGGTGGGGACGTGGGAGGGACGGGTGCGACAGGGGAGTCCGGCCTGGGGCAGGAGGGGCAGACCTCTAGGCAGAGGGAAGAGCCCCAGTGAAGCTCTGCAGGCCTGAGAGCCAGCCCAAGGGTCTTTCAGGGACAGTAGGTGACTCCCGGTGTGAGTCGGGCCTGCCAGGCTGGGTGAGTGTCCTCCTCCTCCCCAGAAACTGGCCCAAAGCTGGACCCCAGCCCAAGAGAACAACCTTCCCAAGGAGAAGGACTGGTCACCCGTCAAGGAGGAGACTCTGTACGGGATGGAGTGACAGAAATCTTTTGTCGGTGGACTAGTTAGATTAGTGTAGTGGTGGGTGGAGTGTGGTGAGGAGGCCCTCCCAGAACCCCCCGGGGGGAGATGCCCTGGCCCTTCCCCCACTGGGAAATGT